TTCCCGGTTCGAGGGCAAGTTTTAATTTATTTTAAATTTGTTCTCGGCCTTTGGGAGGGTTGTGCGGTACCGGGCGAGTGCCTAAACCGTACATGGAGGACACGGTCGAATTCCTAAAGACAAGCACGAATTATACAAAATCCTATACTTGACACTGGCTAATGCACAAATCGTGCCAGAGCCATAAAAAAAAATTACTATTGTGAAATAATCTATGCTTTAGATATTATAGGTTGCTTATAACATCTAAAGTACATGTTCCGCATAATTATTTCAGACACCGGATATAACGGACTTAGGAAGATATGTATATACAATGTTATGGTGACAATACGACCTTAAATTAAGCAAGCTGCTAGTAAATATAGCAATTGGTTAACAAACTTTACCACGGCGCGGCAATATAGCACTGTCAGCTGTTTTTTGGGTAAGATTCTGACACGCATTACGGACGAGTCAGACTAGACTCCCGTTTGCCCGATACGTTCTTAGTTTACAGATCTATCAGTTAGTTATATCCGTGATCTAAAGTATCTATCTATCTTATATAAATATATATAATTTACAGGGTTCTATTTAAAGTATTAAAAGATTAGTAAAACTAGGTATGTGCTAATATTAGGCTATATTACGTTCCATTACTTTTTTTTTTAAAGAACGGGGGGGGGCAAACGGGCAGGAGACTCACCTGACGTTAAGTGATGTCCGCCGCCCATGGCCACTCTCAATGCCAGAGGGCTCGCGAGTGCGTTGCCGGCCTTTTAAGAATTGGTACGCTCTTTTCTTGAAGGACCCTAAGTCGAATTGGTTCGGAAATACTTCAGTGGGCAGCTGATTCCACAATGTGGTGGTGCGCGGCAAAAACTGCCTTGAAAAACGCTCAGTTGTGGAACGGCGGACGTCGAGGTGATGTGAATGTTCCAATTTGTGCCCCGGGTAGGAGAGGTAGGAAGTATCAGCCGGGGAGGATATCTGAGTCTCTGTAAGAAAGAGCAAGGCCGGCTTCGCAGTCTCTAAATGATAGTGGACAGCGTTGATGTTAGAATTGAGCCCCCTAACATTTGTGAAGTCCACGGCAAGTGTGGACGGGGGTGCCTTTATAGAGTTGCTCCGTTTGCCCCGAGGACAATTACTGTTTTTGTTGAGCGCAGAATTACTCCTCCCCAGAATACGAAGGGCAGCCTGTGCGTCCACCACCGGGTGCTGAATGTCCCGGTGGTGGACGCCCAGAGGGGGGATTCTCCAGCGCGAGCGCGTGTGGTACCCCCCTGGGGTCGATTCTGTTTTTTCTGCACCTTCATATTTCTTGTAGGGTGGGGGGGGAGGGGGATGGGCTTCGGGAATCTCTCTCACCGCACGAAACGCGAGTACAATAGGGCGAACCTATTGCATCACTTCACGCCGGTTTTAAGAGAACAGAGAGACAGTGGTACTGCCCCGGTCGTGCCTGCCCATTTGGCTGAAGCCCGAAGGCAACAGCATGGCACTCCCACTAGGTAGGGGTTGACTGATTGCGCTGATGAAATAACCACTGTCATAGGTTATTTCACCAGTGGGCGATGGGGTCGTCACGTCCCGACGCCTACTTGCTATGATCTTAAATAAACTTGGATTATATTAATGAGAATTTTTTTCACTTACAATACTTTTAACGTGAAACAATTATCATTAGCATAATATTAGTGTGGTGAGAACGTGAAGCAAAAGAGGTAACGCACTAATGGTTTCGTTTGATTGTGATTGGTATGTAGTTTTTGATTAAAGATATGCGACTTTGTGCCTGACCATGCATCTGTCTTTCCGTCTGACCATTTACAATCAAACACAATGCACCATCGTCTTTTCTTTTTACAATCTCACCCCACTAGTTGGTCTAATATGTGTTATAATAATACTAACGCTAGATTTAAGTAAATACATCCAATAGACATGACATTACTTATTTACCGTGTGTGACATTCAAGATTAACGACTTTTACCTGAGTCTAACAAATTTTGATTGTGATTGATCATGTCTTTTTTATTAAAGACATGCGACTTTGTGCCTGACCATGCATATGTCTTTCCGTCTGACCATTTACAATCAAACTCAATGCACCATCGTCTTTTCTTTTATACAATCTCACCCCACTAGTTGGTATATTATGTGTTATAATAATACTAACACTAGATTTAAGTAAATACATCACATTACTTATTTACCGTATGTGACATTCAAGATTAACGACTTTTACCTGAGTCTAACAAAGTCTGAAACACTAATGTTGAATACTACGTCTACATTATTGTATTTTTTATAGAAAAGACAGCGAACGAGTGATGATCTATAGTTATACTAGTCATGTACACTCAGGGTGAGATCCATAAACTAGACTTAGCGCGAACTATGCCCCCCGTATGTCAAAATCCAATACATGTTTGAAGTACGGGAGTTAGATTCTCACACTGTCAGAGGGAACGCGAGCTTTTATGAATCAGAACGCTCTTCTTTTATAAAACAGAGGGCAGGAGGCTCACCTGGTGTTAAGTGATCCGCCGTCCATGGCAACACTCACATTGCCAAAAGGCTCGCAAGTGCGTTGCCGGCCTTTTAAGAATTGGTACGCTCATTTCTTTATGGACCCTTTGTCGAAGTGGATCGGAGATACTTCGATGAGCGATCTTAAAACGCCTCTGGTTACGTACGAAGCTAAGATTTTTCATAAAAATGACCGAAATGCGTTTTAGTATTTTACATAAATTACAGTGGAAACTTTGGCAGTAGCTAAGAACACTATTATTTAATCTTACAAATAAAAACATACCTTTCTCGGAATACTCTTAGTGTGTTATTTTCATACTAATTCTGTTTGACGATATTTAAGTAATTGGTGAATAAGACTGATTGATAATAAGATTGTTCTCTCACTCATACATTTACAAAAGGAGGGGCTAATTGTAAAGATTTCGTCCATAAAAAAGAGGTTTTAAATCTGTTCAAAGTCTTGATATTATCAAGAACTATTAAAGTCTATTTGTCTTTGGTATTATGGAGGATGAGAAGATTTGTAATGTCAGCTTAAAATGCCTGCTTCACGACTGATTTGAGCGCGACCGCCACTGCGAAAACCGCTGTGAGAGTTCGAAAAGTGAGTTACAGAATCGCAAGGCAGATCGAGAGCACAAAACGTGAAACATATAAAACTTTAAGAGTTCTTCGCATAATATATAAAACAGAAAACAATTTTTATGTTTTAATATAACAGGAGATTTTTTAAAGTTTTTGTACAAAGTGCTATTTCCTTAGTTACAGGAGACCGAAGATCTGGCCGCTACCTCGGAAAATGAATTAGTCTAGCTCTTGTTGCCTGATGACGTTTTAGCAGTCAAGACCCAGAAAAGAGACTTAGCGCTAGACTGAGTCCTGTACATTAAAAATGTATTGGATTTGAAATACGGATACTTAGCGCTAAGTGTCGACTCTGAATCTTTACCTTATTATTAGTAAATTCTGGAATTGAATATACTGTGTAAACTCTTTATAACGAATGTTAACCGTGCATATTTATTCGGTATAGAGAAGTTTCGTTATAGGCATGGAAGAATTAATGTATGGGTATTGGGTTAAACTAAATAAATTTAATTAATTTTACGTTATAAAGAGGTTTCGTTATAACGACTGACGTCATAAAGAGTTTACAAGGTAGTTACGTTTCTACAATTGTTGACAACACACAGGGTTTGAATATCAATACTCTCGAAAAGCATATAAGTATGCTTTTAAAATCAACCATTTTCAGTCAACAGAAGGCGCAAAATTTAATACTAATTTTACTATAGATTTTTTTTCAATAGTATTTGCCGTCAATAATGTTTTCTGAAACCACAAATACCAACATAAAATACAATGACACAAGCTTCACATCTATATATTTCAATACCTACGTAATTCTAACACTATAGATTAATGACTGATCTCAAACTAAAATCAGTCAGTATGTATTTACATACAAAATACTTCGCAGCACGGATCTTGAGCTTTGGTTGACAAGCAAATATTAATATTGAAGCACAGAACACATTTGATGCAATTTTAGCATTGCAATTTAGCAAATAGTTTTCTATGAAAAAAACAATAGTTTAAAGCTCAAATCGTACCGATGTACATATCTATCTATATTTGTATAGTTCTGAACCCAAACCATTGATAAGTAAATGTGTTTTATAAGTAGGTAGTAGCGAATCGAAAGATAGGCGAAAATGGAAATTATAGTTGGATTGAAACGTCTTGAGACAGTAATAGAAATGTGTAACAAACAAATTTCACGCATTTCATTAAAAGGATTTAGCATTTGTAAAAATAAGATAGTGAAGTTTGATGGATTATTAACCTACTTTTACACATCGACAGACCATTTTATAGCGTTGATACCTTAACTCTAAGAGTAAAATTCACAGACAACTTAGTGACTATAATGACAGATGACTCATTGTCATTCACATTGATGACACATGTCAGGGAGAGACGTATCAGACTTCTTTAAGTCGGATGTCGGTTAAACCAATATTAATTTAGCTCGACATGATTCCCAATATAATAAGTGCTTATCAATATAATCATTATAAAGCAAATATTAAACTGCAACTAAAAGCAGGCACAAAAGAAGTAAAGCTTCTTGCTTAAATTAATCAAAACTAGAGTAAATTAAAGTTAATACTAATTGTAACGAAACAATGGTTTAATAGGTGATTAGACACCAATATTTCAAAACATTACTTTAAAACTCATACTTTTATATAATCTAATCGCAAGTGAATATATCAATGTATATAAAAGCTGACAAATTCACGACCTTTGGGGTTGAATGACCCTTAATTTGTTTTTTAGATCGCCCCATATAAAATATAGTAACTCGTTATTGAGTTGGATATTCATTATAACGATATAATTTATAATATGGGAACATATTATATTTTAGTTACCCGTGGCACATTTTAACACCAAAATTGTAAACGGTCGTTCATTCTTTCTCTTTCTTTTTCGTAGCAATGTGAAAGGCTATGACAGGAATAGAACCTAGCACCATGCAGGATCCCATTCCGTAGAAACAGTATGAGTAACCGCCTGTAACGTCACGTATTAAGCCTGAAAAACGATTATTATTTTAGTCGTGTAAGAAACCTTGGAAAATCAACTTGAAGCCACTTTAAAATGAATATATAAGTAAAAAAATACCAGCAGTCGGTGGTACAGAAACAGCAGCTAAACTCTGGAACATCCTGACAAGACCGTATGAAGAGGCGATTCGAGCTGTTCCAAATGCATCAGCTAGTAAAACTGGTACAAGGAGGAACCAGCAACCCAAACATAGTCCATAAGCACCTGGAAATTAAGATTAAGTAGTTTGTTGTAGGTTTTTATAAATTTTGGTGCAATCTTTAATAAGTAACTGTTAATAACATTTAAAATAATATTGTATCTATCACTATCGTGTATCTTTAAAAGCCTTTAAAAGAAATGATACAGATAAAATTCCATTTGAAAATAAAATTGATTGATTGATTGACAAAAAATTAGTATAATAGTACATAATATATAGAGTCTGGCTAATGAAAGAAGATATACAGAATGTCATTGAATTTCTTAGGTTAGTATGATTTATTGTCTTGATACTTCATACAATTACTCATTTTTAGTCCTATTATATATGTTTTCCGAATAGTTAACAGGTATAATAGCCTAAACTTTGTTTTATTTGATAGAATATTTCATTTCTTTCGCAGGATTTGATTATTCCGAATAAAGTTGTGTTTTATTATAAATATAGTTTAAGTTTTCGATGCAATGCTAGTCATTTTAAGTATCAATGGTAAAAGACTGAATACGTATAGTATTTAATTTCACAGAAATACACTTACTAACAATGTAAAAAAATAATAAAATCAAGTATCAAGTAAGTTTAATCCATAAAATATATCAAACTTTTAGGGATACCATACTATTTTTTTTTTAATTTGCCGCGCTTTTTCGTTATCTTTTTTCATTAGCCAGACTCTATCAACGGAGTAGCTAGTTTTGACACAAGACTTGGCGAAATTCAATGCGTTTTGACGTACGCGTGACTAAGCGCTATATCTCGTTTCTGAATCTTGAATATCATCAAAAAAAAAACAAAAACAAAAACAGTGAAACGAAGCAAAAGTCTAATAATCTTTGAGTTTTTTAGACTTACCAGATGCAATTGCTAACGCCCACCAAGAAGTCAAACTAGGAAGCGTCAATACCGCCACACCAGCCACGATGATGCTGTAAAAAATTGATGAATCATATTAAACCTTACGGAAGGTGATTAAATTTTTAAAGGCAAGGTGCCTTTGCAGATGGGAGAGTATTCAGACTCGCGATTCTGTAACTCACTTTTCTAACTCTCACAGCGGTTTTCGCAGTGTTTTCGCGGCGTGAGAGTTCGGAAAGTGAGTTACAGAATCATAAGGCAGACTTTAAGTTTTGACCAGAATTATAAAATAACTTAACTGTTCCTTTTATTTAGACATCATAATAATTAATATGACATTTGCATCCCTATTTTTATATCGCTGATTGTGCGGTTTGTATAATTAATTATTATCTGAATGTACCACTCTCTTTGCAAATAAACTGCAATAATGAGGGCTGACTCCATTGATGACCGGTTTGTGAAGGTGTTTATGCTTCATTCGCAAACGATGTATATTGTATTAAGAAATCGTACCAAACTAGTAGTCTCATTTATATTCAATTTATGCTGATATTAGTAGCAAAATAAACACTGTAATCTTTTTTTTTTTTTTAATTTTCGTGCCATACTTTATCTCGAAACCCGTCAGTGTCATTAGATACTATACTAGACGTGGTTATTTAAATGTTTAAAGGATTGTTATTATATTACCTTATTATGTATGCTTTTCGTCTGCAAAATAGATGTAAATCACACAGCCACCCCAGTCCTAATCTGCCACATAGATCTAGTACAGCGCTGATGGCTACAAGGCGACCTGATAAACGTAATCTAAATTAAATATCACAAAATGAATTAATTTTAGCAAAACAATTTTTAAAATAATTTCAAGTATCAAAATAATTGATCCTATATATAAAAACATGGTTAGCATTAAATAATAACAAATTTTGGCAAGAAAAAGTTAAGTTTATCAATTAGTACAACAGCGATTATAAAAAAGATTACTGTGGTGAATTGTCATTGGAGAATCGTAAAAAAAATATTTGATATATAGTTTGCATTTAAGATATTTAACAATTAGGTTGATTGCCCCAGCCTTTTAACTAGTTAAAAATTGTGTACCCTCTAGATCCCCTCATCCGATTTATACCTCCTTTCAGAAGAATGCCTTTAGTCCACAACTCACTGAGATTGAGCATTCTAATAAACGAGCTAGGTCTGAATTAGTTGCACCCACTTTCAAATCGATTTTCCTTTAGTATTATAATTTAATTTTCTTTATCTCTTCGTGTATGTTATGTTTGCCTGTATGTGCTTGTCACATAATAATTGTATTTTATTTTTCTTGTACCAATACACTATTTCAACTAAAGTTATCTACAATTATCTCTTAATAATAAGTATATTTACCTGCTGCAGCCTTACTATGTCCCACGGCCACGGTATAAGCTGGTAAGTAGTATAACGCGTAAGGAGAACCACAGGACATAAGTGCTACTGACGTACACAGGAGACCGAAGCGCCAGGACTTCAGTAAGGAAACATCCAAATATCTGAATAAATATTTAATAAACATATATTAATGAGACTGATCCAGTCGTCTCTTATTGATAGAAAAATGATTCTCTTGTATTACCTTGATATTGTGGCGACACATCCCTTTTCTATTACCTCTTCCAATTCTTCTTTCTTCTCTTCCTCGTCTTTCTTTAATATCTCCGGTTCCTGAACTTTATTAGGGATTATCCGACTTGGCAAAGGTGGCTTTATATATAGCGATCTGTAATAACAAATATTTTTTCAAGGTTATTTAAATATAAAAAGCACGATTTTGCACCGTATAAGCTAGTGCTCATAGGACAGTCCATTGGTACACAGCCGGGGATCGAACCTACGACTTCAGGGATGAGAGTCGCACGCTGAAACCACTCATGTAACACGTAAAGCAATGATAATATATATAAATGCCTCTGTCAATGTTCCAGCCTCTTTAAATACCCCATCAATTTATATATCTAATTTATATAGCTGGAGGCTTCTAGAAGTTATTCAGGGGAATCTACCTGCTAATCTTCCTTCGACTCGCTTTATAAACGCATGTGCTGTCTGTGGATAGATCTTCCACGGAGTGTAGGATTGACGACGAGCGTGTTGGACGCAGGCGCAGCCGGGCAACTTCACGGGGCAAGCCTGGAAATAAGGTTGTTTTCAAAGCCTACTTTGACTTTAAATTGGCGTAGTAATACTCTTACATTATTTATATTCATTAATTTAATAGCAATCCTATTTTACGCACGTTAGAAACCTCAAATGTAATCATTAATTAAGTTCCTTTCCCAACATAATGTGAGACGGTTATATTTTATATATATTTTTTTTGTTTATGTATACTTCATTGTTATTTTATTTAGGTTTAATTGGAAAGAAGACAGAGAACTTCTCAAACTCAAACTTTATTCATATATATATATATATATATATATATATATATATATATATATATATATATATATATATATATATATACACATATATATACATAAAAGATGTTAAATTGATTCTAAATTTACATTTACTACCAGTTCGCAAATCAAGGGCGTAGAGCGGGCAAGAAGAACTGGCAAGATAGCCTCGGACACTCTTTTTAATTGCTAAGTTTTGTGTCGTATAAATTGTTTGAACTGGAGCAAATCATTCACAATGATTAGGATCATTTTAATGTTAGTCAAATTTATAAAAGGATTTATTGATTAATTTACGTTTAACGAAATGAAGACGAAAGTGCTGGCCATTACAAGTCATATTAGATATGTACATTACACAAATATATATGACTTGTAATGGCCAATACTAATGAAAGTACATACCAACAACTCCTAAAACGTCCATCCCTTCGGAATCTTCTGAATCAGACATCTGACAAGGCAGAGGTGGCCGCGCTACCTGTACCATTGAATGTTCTGTTAAAATTGTTCTATAATATGACTTTAAAAACTACGAAATGTGTGAGTTTCTAATAAATCATTTTGTGAATTCCGCTTTATTTTATGCAATATATTGACGACTGACTTCTTTTAGTATTCAAATTCAGGTCCGAAAGTTAGTTGTTTCTGATATTCAAGTTTTTAGTCGCTTAATTATACGTTTTGTAAGTTATATTATACAGTACTTAGCAAATAAAATAAGTAGAGTCGAAGTAGTTATTTCTTAGGTTTCATTAAAAGTGCACTTGCATACCATTAAAAAACGAAGTATAATAAAACTCGTATGAAATAACGAATAACGCTAAACTAAGTTACTTTTTTATTTATTTATAAAAAACAATCCTGTTTTAATAGGTGATTATCTTATAACGTAATGTAACGTCTATGGAATCGCTGGCTGGTAAAATGACTCCGCCAGTCAAATTAAATTTAAACTTAAAGATTAGATTTAGAGTCTATAGCTATAGAAAGTTTTACCTCAATCAAACTTGGGTGCATAATTTCATTGAAGAAATTAGTTCGTTTGTCATCGTTGAGGAGAGCATTTTTCTGGTTCATAGCTATTTCGCTTTCTGGTTGGAAAAGGTTCTGTAGTTTGTTGTCCTTCGCTGGTAGGGCTTTGCCTATAACCATAGAATAGTTACAAAGACCTACTTAGCGACCTTGTTAAGTGTAGCCCTAAATACCTGTGTACAATTGTGCATACTCGGCATATGAAGAGCGAGGTATACTTTAGCATAAGTCACTTAGAATAGGCATAATGTAGATATGTCAGAAAGCAAACGTGCGCAGCATCGCACTGCCACACTTTGTGATTAAATTATAAGTATTATTTTAATTACATTAGTTTATAAAAAGTGGGTTTTTAACATAATTACAGATGCAGAAATTTAAAAAGTTCGTTAAATGAGCAGATCGCAGATGTTTTTATAGGACGTTAACATACAGGCGAAGGACTTGTCTGATGTGATCTTAATGGACTATATGAGACCTAGCGAGTCTGATGGCATTTAAAAGATTGGTACGCTTAATAACACTCATTTGTTGGATATTGAATTATCATATTCATTTGGTTTACTTGGAAGTAACTTATATAAGTACTTGGAAGTACACTCAAAAAGTAGTACACACTTAAAAGCTTACCATCTTGTATGTCATTAAGCAGCGTGGTATTCTCAGTCGTGGTTGTGGTTACTGGAGTGTTGGACCTTATCGTGGGAGGTGGACGATAAAGGGTAGCTGCCACACACACATGTAACATCCCACCACCTAAAGATGATCAGTTCATTGCAATATATATGAGATGGGACGATATTTATCACCATCTAAGAGCATATTGTTTTTTAATAAGTTTAGTTTAGAGCTAATTTGCTCCAGTATTCAGATTTCTCCTCCAGATATCGTGAAAATTTCAATTTGTTATGTTACAAATGTTATGTTAACAAGTTATTAACAAACAGTTTTTCGGTTCAGTAGTAAGTGGTCTCCACTTATCACTATTGTACGAGCGAAAGCTTTAAATTTTGCTCACTCAGGCTCTCTTCGTTCTATAAGTATGGCGATCACTTAAATCGTGGGAGTTACGCCACGAGATATATATATATATATATATATAAAGCCAAAAAACACTCTCTTCAGCATTACAAGCATAGCATTGTATTTCATTTTGCGTTCATAGCATAAATGGCATAAATTTATTATTTTGTTACACGTGAGTGGTTTTCTTATAGGCCTACCTTCAACTATCCTAGTTTTACATAGATAGATTTCAGCAAATCCGCGTTTATTGGGGCAAAAGATCAGTGAAACACGTTTGACTCTCTTTATTTCTGGTTTGAAACTTACTCACAGGTTACTTACCTAATAATAAAACAGTTCCATGCAGCCCATACACACCCACCAATTTCTCTATCAACATTGGAAAGACGAAGCTTCCAGCAGCAGTGCCACTTACACAAATGCCGTTTGCCAATGCTCTGTGTTTGTCGAAGTACTGCGATACTATTACTATGCCAGGAGTAGTAGATAATCCACCTCCGATACCTGAAAATTATGAATAGGATTTTGATGTTATATACCTAGAAACACGAATTGGAGGAACGGAAGGATTTAATTAAAAGTATTATATTTATTTCAGTTGAATGAAAGTTATTTGAATATGTATGTATTATTAAATATATTATTTACTTCTAAACAGCCTTGAGATTCTGTAACATTTTACGATTTGTCATTTTGATAAGGAGGTGGTAGTTTATTGTTTATTAGAATGCCAAATCGTAAAATGATTGCTTCACGACCGATTTGAGAGCGGCCGCCGCTACGAAAACCGCTGTGCGAGTTCGAAAAGTGGGTTACAGAATCGCAAGGCTGATATAAAGGCGAATTAAGTCTCAAAAGCATTCGAAACATTGAATTATGGTAATATATTCGTATCTAAATCCTAAGTAGAATTCTCTTAACAGTTGATGTCAAAATTTTACTTTAACCAAATCCAGTTTTCGTGACACGTAATTCCAAAATCAACTCTATGGATTTTAGTAGGTACAACATTAAAATTGGGATTAGTCGATAGATGACAACAATCTGTATCAATCATATTAATCAGAACAAAATATCATTTATGCATGTAGGTAACAAAATGTGTACTTATGAACGTCAGTACAAAAATAATGCTCCTTATAGATATAGTTTATATTTACTGCCAGTTCTCTAATCAAGAGCATAGAACGAACGAGAGATGAACTGGCAATAAACTCTACATCATTATTTTCTTTTCGTCAAGGTTATTTACTAAACAATTAATTACAAGATTGCCTTTTTGTAAGAAGATCTAGAATGCAGTTGTGCCTAAAATTAGCCTTACCAGTCATAACCCCAAAACTAAGTAGAAGATGCAGCAATCCAGTACTGAAGAAAGAGAGAGCAAGGCCAGTTGCACAGAACAGTCCGCCTATGAAGACGACCAGACGACAGGAGTACTTTTCACAAAGGGCTGATGATAAAGGAGCTGGAAAAAATAAAATATAAAAAATATAAATTTCAATTATGTTGCTACCTTAAGACCATCTTTCTGAAATTTGTGGTAGAAAGAATGTAGCTTCAAATGTATAGTATATTAATAGATAGTAGATTTGTTTGATCGATTGGTTGGTTTAACCTCAACAAATCGCTATGTAAATTCATTTCATACCAGGCCTTGTGGTGCGTTCAATTTAGAACCCTGACTCTGGAACTTAAGTAAAAAGCGAAAAAATAAGACGAAAACCTAAAAGTATATTTGTCTCATTATGTCCTAAAACAGTCTCAATAAAAGACAATACTATTCTTATATACTTGCTTAAAACTCTCCTATCTGTATCGCATTTTACAACTTGGTATTGAAATTATTTTTTATATTATATATTTTTTTTATATTTTAATTGTATTGTTGTTACTAAAGACAATGTATTACTTACCTAACGCCAAGCACAAAGTGGACAGTGCAGCTGGTATCCAAGAAGCGACACTCTCAGAGGAATCTGGGAAAGTTTCCATAATCTCCACATAAAGGACTCCATAGGACTTGAATAGTCCAGCCACCCAGAACTGCACCATGAATGCACCAAATACCACCACCCAGCCGTAACCGCCGTCTGGTGGTGATGTGCTAAAACATTTATAATATATTCTATTTTTACTTTTTTTCATATTAACATATTGTTTGTATATTTATACCTACTATGTAGCTACCCACAAAAGGTCACAGTTGAATAATCAACCAAGGCTTAACCAGAGTTAAGCCAAAAGTGATGTCAAGTATCTTTTTTTCTGTATTCATTTAGGTAACACAATGTACCCTTATGCACGTCACTAAAGAAATATGTATATTAAATGCTAATGTTTCTAATTTTGCATTTACTGCCAGTTCTGAAATCAAGACGTAGAACGCACAAGAAACTTTCCACCACTATTTTTAATCGCCAAGTTTTTTGTTTTACAATATCAGTTGAGGATTCATAGTCGACACTAAGTCTAGACCCCGAATCTTACAGGTTTTGATTTACCCTTTCATACTTTAAAGTTTTTTTTACCTAGACGTAAAAATATTGCCTATTAACTTTATTTTAGTTGTAGCTCAAAGATAAATTCGTAAAACCTTTAGATATCAATTCTTTACTCACTCTGTGCTCTCGCTTTGCGGCCTCAGTTTTCTAGAAGCAGCTAGCAGCGGTCGTGCTGTGACGGAGGACAGCGTAAGAAGAGAGTCTTCTTCTTGCTCCGTCGGCGACATCGCTGAAAGGTAGGCGCCTACTTGCTGCAAGTTAAAAAAGAAATGTGTGCGTGTTCTAGGTGTACACACGTAAGAAGTGAAACTTCTTTATGACCTTATTTTTCGAAAAATGATCTACTATATGCAACTTTACAGAAATTCGTTAAATAAAGTTAAATTAGATAAAGTTTAACAAAAGGCTTTTATTATCATAGACATGAATACAAATACAATTATTTCATACATACATACTATGTAGTACTAAGATTATTGTAGAATTTCATTAATTGTAATAGAATTATTAGTATTACTATCATTGTTATCGTTATTATATATTTTTGTTACTAATGGCTTCGAATCTCTTCGGATCAACCGTGGTAGGGACAAGAAAAAGATGGTGCGCAACCGAAAAATGTGACAAATGTGTGTAAATTTTTTTCCAACGCCGAAAAAGAAGTTTGACTTCAAAAAGCAACATGGCGCGTAACCTGCTACAAAATTTCTCCCATACGTCGATAAAGAAGTTTCACTTCAAAAGATGGCGCGTAACGGAAAAACGTGACGCGTAACGAAAAAATGTTACACTACATTTTTTTCCAACCCCGGTCCCTCCTTGTAGTTTATTGTTTATCAGAATGCCAAATCATAAAATGACTGCTTTACGACTGATTTGAGCGCGACCGCCGCTGTGAAAACCGCTGTGTGAGTTCGAAAAGTGAGTTACAGAATCGCAAGGCTGGTATTATATCTTTCATGCCAATATGAATTTTATTTATAAATTTATTGTACAGAAAATATTATTTTATGTTCAGCTTTAAGTATATATAATTACAAGAAAGCTCAACTTTAGCCACTATCAATTGAAATAAATAAATAATTATAAACATATACTCACATTAGCCAACGGCAGTTCTAAGAGTAAACTGATAGGTCGCTCCCTCTGTTCAATCCTCTCACTCTGCTCTGGAGGCGCAGATTGAATCGACAGTAAGGACCCTGCGGCCTCCGGGGACAGCACCGCCTGGGTATTTAGCATGAACGTCAAAACAAGGCTGGTACAATTAATTTTTCTGTTTTAAAAATCTTTTTGGTCCCATTTTAATATCATAACACAGTATGAGTTGCAGTGGCGTAACAATAGGGTGGCAGGGCTGGCTAAATGCCACGGGCCCCGGACCCAAGAGGGCCCCTGCCCAAGAGATATTATGTTCTATGGATGAACGTGAAGTCTCCAATACGCCTTTGGCTAGCGTGGGGACTACAGACCATTCCCTGTCGCCTAAGAGAGGAGGCCTATGGCCATTAGTGGGACATATACAACGTGTAATTCAGTACTCTGAAAATCTCGAAGTTTAGATATTAAAATTAAACTGAGTACAACGTGACGATTTTTACAGATAGGGCCCCATCAAAAGAATTTGCCACGGGCCCCAGATAGTATAGTCACGCCACTGATGAGTAGAACGCATGCGCACAACCCGAAACTATATTGTAAACTCGCAAGTTTTCTGGCATTGGGTGTCCATGGGCAGCGGTATTACATAAGAGCTGAGCCTCTGAGCCAGGCAGAACTGACGTTAAAAAATATCGGTTGTCTGTAAAGTCGGTTTACTGACGATAGTTGAACGTGACAACGTCATAAGAAAATACTGATGGAATGGTTGCATTTTTTTCAAATGAAAATTTTAATTTTATTTGGTTGATAGTTATTTTGTATGGATATAGAGTAGGTAAATGGAAATCACAATTGAATTGATCAAGTTACATTTATTTGTACGCATAAATACAATTATGTCAATTTTTGTGTGCAAGCGAAAGCGCGGAACGAGTGCTCTCGCTTGCACTTCAAGCCTTAAATGGAACGCCTCAGAGGTAACGCCGCATGAGTCATGTTTTTTCGTGCGTGCAGCCGGCTCCATCGAATTATAAGACGTTGTCACGTCAAAATCATTATCATAGACACCGTTTACCTTTTAAACAGTAAATCTTAAGTACGACCCGGTTATGAATCGGTAATTGCGTATAATTAATTAAGATGGCCACAAATGAAAGCTTATATCCAATATATTGTATTCGAATTAACATCGAGTTATAAGTACGTGAATAAATATCATTTATTATTTGTTTATTAGGTTAAATAAATAAAAAAAAAGAAAAAAAAAAAAAAAAAAAAAAAAAAAAAAAAAAAAAAAAAAAAAAAAAAAAAAAAAAAAGAAAAAAAAAAAAAAAAAAAAAAAAAAAAAAAAAAATAAAGAAAAAGGAGGGAACCCCCCCCCCCCCCCCCCCCCCAAACACGCTAGACGAAAAATATGGCACAGAGCGCCCCACGCTTTTACACAATAATACCAGTATTTTTTGTTCATTACCATTTTCAGCCTAAATTAGGAATTATTTATCACTTTTTAGTTTGATGTGCTTTAAAAGCGTGTTTTTTAGATTTTTTAAACTATTATTTATTTTTTAGTTCATTTTTTTTTCGGATTATTGCATTGTCATCGATCTTTGACAGGTGCGCAAAGTTTGAATTAAATCTGTCCGTTAAAAGTGGGTCAAAATCGAGTCCGAAGGAGTCGCTTACATACATACATACAGGTGAAGCTAATATAAAGCGTGTAAAAATATCATTACTCAGTATAGAAATTACTACAGAAACAATAGTTTGATCCTACTTTAAACAATGTAGTTATTACGAGTATGTTCAAAATTGTTGTGTTATAGACGTTATTTAGGTTTTTTTTTTTAATTTTTCTGATAACTGGTGTGGCATTACCTATGAGAAAATTTCGACTTGACGTCGACTTTTGGGACACCCTGTATATATCATACAAATAAATAAGAGATACGGAGTCTAAATTGCCTTACGAGTGGGCCTTAGGGAAGAATTAATTTTAAATGTTTTATACCTCTGCAATGGCATCTCCTGGAAGATCGATGGAGCAGGACACTGGCGCTGTCGACGTTGGTGGTGCTGATGATCCGAGGATATTCCCTTCCAGCTTGGATAACTCCTGGAAACACTTTTAATTTTGAAAAATGTTGATTTCAGAAAATCAATTACCACACCAATTAGCAATACAACACAGGATTCATATAATTATGACGTTATCTAATGAAAAAAACCCATTTTCGATGTCGTTATTTTAATATCCAACATTTCGAAAGCTTGGAATTATACAGTTAAAGTTACGCTGCCACAGGGACCAAACTTTTTAAATTTGATTTAATTTTCTTTTTATTATTTTAATTACTCTTATGTAGGTTAAGAAAATGTTAATACTGTAGTACAAGTTGAAACTACGCATTGGGCTAGCGTGGGTACTACAGAGAGACTATTCCCTCTCGCCTAAGAGTAAGGCCTATGGCCATTAGTGCGATATGTAACGTGTAATTGAGTACGCTGAAAATCTGGAGGTTAATTATAATTAAACAGAGAAGGGTCGATTTTTACTGATAGGGCCCCATCGAAAGAATTGCCCCGAAAGAAGATTTGCCACGGGCCCCAGATGGTATAGTTACGCAACTGCGATTCGTATAAATTTCCTAGCTGTTGCATTCAAACCGTGTACCGAGTCTTAGAGTATATTTTTACAGATAATAAATCCAGTTATAAGCCAATAAAATAAATCGGTTAACGTTATATAATATTGAATCACTCACGAACAAGTGTTTAACTTAAACACGGAACTTAGAGGACTTCATTGTGTGAAATGCTGTTTTAATATTACGAAGTTTTTTTAAAACTTCTAATATTTTGAATAACTGGGTTCTATATTGTATGTGTCCGAGGCTTAGCTATCGTGGCGATTATCTGGAGTACTTGGACTTTGTTCCCAATGATATGCAACTCTAATACAAACTCAGTCACATTAAGGTCACTTTAAAACGATCACATTTCGCATGAATTAACATAACAGCGGCAACCTCCGCATCTCATAACATTAATTCCGTTTTATTTTAAAAGCCAATAAAACCCATATAAGTAGGCCGTAGCGTATATAGGATGGAAACTGCATTAAAACGTCAAATATATGATATTCTTCCGACTAGGTGAGTAACGAGGGTGAAAGGTGTAGCAAGCGCGTGGGAGGTCATTTCTGCTGTGTCCTCCGATATTGGAAAAGTTTTGTACAATTTTAAAAATACGTTTAGGCTACATGCTACACCCAAAATTTCATAAAATAGCAAAAGCTATGAACATTTCAAATATCAGACGTATTGCTATGATACAATTCGGTATTTTTCCTTGACATTTCGTCCAGCCTTGCGATTCTGTAACTCACTTTTCGAACTCTCACTGCGGTTTTCGCAGCGGCGATCGCACTCAAATCAGTCGTGAAGCAGTCATTTTATGATTTGGCATTCTGATAAGGAGGGAGATTGTAGTTTATTGTTTATTTGCATTTTCCATTTGAAAACATTTTTATTGTAAGTATACAATGATCTTTTCAATAATACTTTTAACACCAATGATAGGGCGGGAACCTTCCAATGTTCAAGATGATTGTTAGTTTTGTGTGGTTTTATAAAAGAAACCGGTCAGAATGGTTTTACCCTAACTTGTTATGTGCTATTCGACCAGTCCTATACTCCGGCGATGCGCCAGTAACCAAAGCTATAATCAGGAAGATTTCATAATCCATTTGTCAGAGACCTTGGTCTTTCTATAAAGGATTGTTAGATTTTAGATCTCTTCTCGATTAAAGCGAATAAATGTTATAACCTCAAAACAAGAATTCCATACTATCGCAAGCGAGACAAAGAATTGCTTTCATTACTTTCTAAAGAAGACGATTTTGTTTGTGGGGTTTAATACGACCTTTTCATACCGTTTTACTTCACCGATTGAGCAATTGTTATTAAAAATACTGTCGGTGTACAGACAGAGTTCAAACGCAAGACCTCACGGGGGTCATTCTGAGGGGTCAACATCTGTATCTTTCGGTAGGGTTCGATTTTAGTATTTCCAGTTTGATGTTACAAAATTTATTCTTTGTCCGTCCCGGCAAGCATGCGCCCATAGATACTAAAAATCTATCAATGCATCAATTCTCTATTATTATCGAACCATAAAATATTTATTATTTATAAATATCTATTTTGTAAAATTAAAAGCTCTTTTTGAAGTTAACGCCTATACGCCTAGAATTGCTGCAATAGTCTAGATATAAAAGTTGACCTAGGTCACGTAAAATCGATATCATGATATAGGAAATAGTTCCGTATCCGCCTGTGCCGTGTGCGGGACAAATTGCTGTGTCATGAACATGTAAAATGTCACCGGTTTTTTAGCGACATCAAAAAGGGATAGGTTTGTATGTATTGGAACATTTTTGTTGTTGAACATGTTTGTGTGTTGAAATCATTGAGATGATTTTTAAATTAATCATATCGTAAATTTCATCAAAATCGATTACCAAGTTTTTGAGATATATAGGTAAATACATAATTACGGGTATTTGCAGACAATATTTCACCCATATAAAACCAAATAACTTTTGTTATTTATATAAAAAATAATATAATTGTAATTGTAATGTTTTTACAGGGTATAACTGCTTTTTGAAACATCCGATTAAATTTGTGCTAATAGTGTACATTTGTTTCATTCATTCAAATTGCAAAAAATATTATATATACCGTGAGTTTATAATCACAAGATTTCTACACATGCTACACCCATGAAGATTTCATTCAATACCCCGCCTTAGATGCCTTAGATGTACTGTTCAGAAGACTGATCATCTACATGTCTATAAAAAAATATCAAAAAACAAGTGCTAGTCTGTTCCATTACACGTACCTACCTATGTATATGCAGAACTAGGTATAAGTACTAGAAAGCCAGGGTGAATCACCCGTATTATATAACACGGATGTTTTCCTGTCAAAATAGAAAAAAATCGAACAGCGCATGTTCATTAAAAGCTCATTTCACTAATCAACCAATAAAGTAATTTTGATTTATTATATATACACGAATTAAATATATGACTTGCATAAATAATAGACCTAAAGATATAGAAAAAACAACGAATTTTCTATCTATATTTTAAGATCTCAATTAAGACTCGCAATTAAAATTTTGGGTACACAATGCTGAGTTGATGATTTATTTGATACACACCTTGTTGTATATAAATTCCCTTGGCAGAGACATTTTTTAATGTCCGGCGGCGCTGGTGTGACAGTAAAATGATCCTCCGATTCCGTCGATTCTAATCTTGGCCCATTTACGGCAAAAACCGTATAATACATTGGTTTGTTCAAAATTTCACTTTCAATACAATAATATCACAAATGTATTGTATTAAAAAAATTACGGACGCATTATATAAATGTGTATAAAAGTGTATACGCGACAGAGTTTGGATAAAGACTGAGACACGCGTGCGCTGGGAAAATCGATAACTGACAGAGGAAGTACGGTTAACCCGATGCAAAATGTTTTGGGTGTCTGTGGCCTTTTCGATGAACCATCGACGGATTCAAGGCCGTTTAAGAGTTGATTTTGATGCAAAATTTCATCGTTTTCTCCTATCCGCAAATAACTAGTCTAGTCAAGAATTCTGAAGATCTTTAATCCGGATTAAAGAAAAATTATGTTTAACAGGCAAACTCTAATTCAAAAGTTGACACACAAAAATCTTATACAAGATAGAGCGAGATACGAGTACTCGTGGAAAGCGAGACCCGCTGGAAAGCATTGAAACATCGAGATATATATACCTATAACAGATATAATAGGTTACATATTTTCTTTATATAAGTATTCGATCCATACACTTTAATGTACACATTAAAACTTATTATTACGAGTAAACACATTAAAAATAAGCTTTCTTCTAAATAGTAATATTTTTATTTTTTCCCTTTATTTTTTTAAATTATACTCATTTATTTCCAACATACAACTATACAGTATTTACAATATACTTAAACATAACAGTTGTAATAATAATTAAAATTGAATAAAATGGTTACATTAAAAATTCAAACAAATTTTAAAAGTTTTGTCCCTGTGGCAGTATATGTGTGTAATTCTGGCAGCGTTTCCTCGTTCGTATTTTAATATTGAATTTTGGTAAAAGTGACTTTAAATTATATTCACATAGAATTACTTCATTTAAGTACAATGTATCCTCATCGGTTTACGAAACGATAAAGTAAGGGCACGCCCTTCTCCGACCAATTTGTAGTGGCGATGGCTCTGGATGTTACGATTTTATATTGATATTATAGTAAAATGAATAATAATTTATCATTATTATGTAATTACGCTTTGAAATTGGTTTTGCAAATTTTTAAGCATATTGCGATTGCTATAATACTAATACAAATAAGATATTTTGCCTCTTAAAAGCTTTTTGCTACTAATAATACTAAAATAATTATTCACAATGAGCAATGATAATAATCCATCAACCCTGTATGGATTAGTCGTTTAACGGGCGCTTTCTATACTATCCCAATCCAATTTTTACTAGAGATTGATATTTCAATCCATTTCTCATAAACTACTTTTCTATAAATTATCTATGGATCGATAGTAATCTGTTTTTGTAAACCATCTTTGGGAGGACCGATCGGTATTTTTGGATTGATATTTGATAATACCAATAATAAGTTCTAAATGGTTCTAATTGTGAAGCTTAGAGTGAGGTTCAAAAACGAGACTAAGCGCGAACTATGACTGTGAAGGGTGAGTGGTGAACAGTTCCATCAACCAAGGGAGTATCCTCCACCAGTCAAGGCATGAACTGTCCCGAAGGCCCCCGTGGCTTATGTCGAGAAGATGTATCCTTAGCAACCGAAATGACTTAGTGCGTTACATGGCATGATGTCATCGCAGTGATTGAAGCAGTAGAATGTAGGTACTTATCGCTATAACTCTCGCCTGTTATAAACGTTTTGCATCTTTATTGAAGTGAAACTTCTTTAGGCGTATGAGGTAATTTTTTTACGGATGAAACGCAATAATAATAATATTTGCGTCACGAAGATTTGCAGCGTTTTTGTCGAAGAAAAGGGAGAGAGCGATTGAGAAGGAGAAGGGCGAATTACCTTATAGAAATTCTATTTTTAAAATTAAATTTCGTAAAGAGAATTTATGAAATATTAGTATTTTATATTTTATTCAAAATAATTTATTGAAACCTCAAATGACGAATTGTAAATTCAAATGCCACGTGTTTTTATAATCGAATTTAATTACGAATATTAACCGTACCCTAAGCGCTAAGCCCATCCACACGCTTGACAAACAATGGCAAACAGCTAACAGCAAACAGCAAACACGGACGTGTGGATGGGTGTTTGTCGTTGTTTGCCTGTTTGTGTTCGTGTTGGGCAGTGTTCGGCATCGGTGTCGGTTTATCTTGCCAGATCAAAGGATTTCCGTATTCGATTTCCTAATTCGTTTTCCGTATTCGGACATTCGAATGCCTGGAATCAGTAGAAAATGTATTAACTGGTTACACGTTTGCTTTTTTTTCCGAACGGAATAAATTCCACACGTACGTTTCGAGTGCAAGTCGCGGACTTCGGGGAAACCTACTGGAAAAAACCTAATGACGTCACGCGGAACGCAATGCTTGCATACATTTTGTTTGAGCCGGCGCATACGTTCGGAAATTTCTATTCAGTATCACGCCAGCTGCAGCGCCACGTGCATCGGACGTATCTCTGTATTTGTTACGCCATAGAAATGCAACACGAAAATATGTGAGGCAGAAATATTAATATTTGCTGTTGAAAAATACCCCTGCCTGTGGAATATTCATGACAACGACTATCACAACAGAGATGTCAAAGATTTGGCCTGGGAGAACGTATTTAAAGAGGTTATAAAGGATTGGGGCACGTGCACTAAAGTGGACAAAGAAAACAAAGGTATGATATTTTCTATATACTTTTTATTACAACTGTGCCCCCCTTCCGGTGATTTCCCCTGCCGGTGTCATAAAGTAAGTACTCAGCAAAATTGTCTCTTATGTTTCGACCTCGGTTTGTGGATCTGTGTTGTGGACTACGGAAAGGTATATCTTCGAAGTAATATGTCAGAGTATCTTCAAATCGATAGCCGTCTCTTCTGCGTACAAAATTATGTAACACACATACTGCCTTTGTTACTAATACTGCAAAGTCTGGTAGAATCGTCATGCTAGTGTGAAAAATTCTCCATTTATTCGAGAATGCCGAAGGCACATTCCACTACATCGTGATCATCTCGTGATCTGCTGAGGCGGTAGTTGAAGATTCTGTTTTGGGTATTGAGATTACTTCTCGGATATGGTTTCATAAAATTGTTATTGAGTGGAAATTCTGCATCGCCAAGAAACACAAAAGGTAGGTATGTGTTATTGGTATTCGGCAGAGGGTTTGCTTCTGGCATATTAAGGCGATTCTGAGTTATCTTTTTTCCAAAATTCCAGTTGTTGAATATATTACTATCGCTGTCTCTGCCATAAGCACCAACATCTACAGCTATAAAACGGTAGTCAGAATCAACTACTGCTAATAGTGCAACAGAGTAGAAATGTTTATAGTTATAAAAGGCAGATCCACTATGCAGAGGAGAAATCAAACGAATATGTTTCCCATCCGCTGAACCTACGCAATTAGGGAAATTGGTTCTTCTATAATAATTTTCAGCAATTTCTAGTCAACGTTCTTTTGAAGATGGTGGCTTTATTTCCAAAGGAAAAACTTCCCATATTGCTGTACAGGTTTCCTTAACCACGGCTGATACGGTCCTGCTCCCCATTAAATATTCAAAGTGTAACTCTTCAAAATTTTTACCAGTTGCCAGGAATCTGAAAAAAAAGAGATTAAAAATAATATTAATTACATTTCAGGTGCTCAGGCAAAGAAAAAATGGACACACATTAGAGACTACTTTCGAAGAGATTTAAAAAAAAATAAAAGTGCTCTTTCAGGCAGTGCCGCTAAAAAGGTTAGAAAATATGTTTATGCAGACCTGTTGTATTTTCTTATACCGGTATTTGATAAAAGAAATACCGAAGGAAACTATAAAATCGATGATCTACGCGATAATACTTCTAAAGAATCCGAAACGCAAGAAGAACACAGTGTGGAACAAGTAGATGACCAAGATATCCCATCCCAAATACTCAATATCCTACATCAAAATCAACAGAAAGCTAATCAGAAACGACAAGAAGTAGAAGACGATGACACGAATTTTTTATTAAGCTTTAGAACACATATGAAACATATGAATGAAAATCAGAAAATTGATTTTAAATTGGGAATGCTGCAGTTGGTAAAAAAAATTAATACTAAAAAGAAATAAATATGATTAGTGTGCTAACGAGATCCGAACCTACGAAGGGTGAGAAACCCTTACTGCTACTTATCTTCTCTAGTTCTATAGTAATATTAACAATGCTACTATTGATCTGATCGCTCATTTTTCTTTATGATGTGACTAGTTGCAAATTGTGTTTACGAATTATATACGCTAATACGGCCGTGGGGTTCAAGTGCACAGGTGCTAATTAAATATTTAAGTTAGCGCCTGGTAGATCGTACCGGTGACCAGAGCTGGTGGTTTCCTCATTCAACGAGTAAGTATCGCACAACAGCGAGGAAATGCTGCCAGCGTTCAAGGTCCACAGGTGCCACAGAGACCAATCCTTTTAAATTTGTTTGAATTTTTAATTATTTTTACGTAGGTTAACCCTTTATTTGGCAAAAAAATTAAACCATTGTGAATTGAAACAAATACTGAAATAGGAATGTGTAGAGCCTAAATATGCCCAGAAAATTAGTAAAAAAAATCTAGGGTTTTCAGTTTTCCTGAAAAAGCATGTATGCTACTACATACATTGCCAATGGGTAATGAAAAGTATTCATTTGAATGTATGTTGGGACATACCTTACCAAAACCAGTAAGAATAAAAATCATAAGTATGTATTATAACTTTAATTAAAAATAAACATAAATCAAACCTCTTTATAAAAATGAGTTGATGGACCATACATTATCAAATCAAAGTAGCTGGTATAAGCTCTGCATCACTGTGATTGGCAGTAAACGCTGGAAGTAAACCCAGAAACTCTACTCATAGAAATTTGGAACCTGAAAGTGTCCTCTCCTCCGTACAGAATAAAATCGTAGATCATACCTGATACTCCAGCTCTGACATAGTTTTTGAACCCCCATTTTTGGGTTTGTCTTTCATATATTGGCGTCTCTTGCCGGCCTTAGTCCCTTTGTAAGGTATCATCATTTCGTCGATGCTGAACTTGGTCTCGACTTCTTGAGCTAAACAATATGCTCTTATTTTTTCAACTATGGGCCCAACCTTGTGATATCTTCACTATTATCAGTGCTATTGTCGACGAAATGAAGGTATCTTCGAATTTTTTGGTACCTTTTTATGGGCATTAGATCTGCAACTAAACCGAATCTATATTGCAGACTCCAATAGTCTGTATATGAAGGATGGACACGACCCCCATGATATGTGAATGGCCAGAAAATCTCGAAGTTCGTCTTCAACTAATTCAATCGACCGTCCGGTTTTTTCCACTGAATACGCATTTGTTTGTTCTACAATGTCAGTTATAACATCTTGGGAAAAAACTTGGAAAAATAGTCCAAGGAATAGTTAGTGTCTGAGAATCGATTTCTGGTATATCTTCCACAGTTCCTTTGTCGAAAAACAGCAGCCCTTTTCCACTTATAGCACAGAACGAACTTTTGGATTCTGCGTGACCGTTTAGCAAAGGAATCGTCGGCCTTTTCGATCGCGTTTTTCTAGTTGGTAATGAGAGGATGTAGTGGGGGTGCTAGGTATGGACACTGAAGGTTGTGCAGGCGAAGCTTGGAGAGAAGCGACATGAAATGCAGGATTTAGAGTAGCAGGCGTGCAGGAGTTGCAGGCGTGGCAGGGGTTGGAATGTCACTTATTATCGGAATTGCTGCAATCGGGCTCAAGTGATGGATTCGGTACTTTTGGAATACAGGTGTAAGCCGAACATTCTCATCGTTGAGGTTTCATCATCGGAATCTAATATTTCAGTCTTTCTAAGGAACTCGCAATAGATGGGGCTGGGGAAGATGAGTCTGAATGCGAAATTTGAGCGCCCAATTCATCATCGACGTCAGATGCATTACCATAGGAGTGATTTTAGTAGGGATCAAAGCTAAAATTCTACCACCACGTGTTAGTAGCGCGAACTGTAAAGAAAAAAAGCTTGCATAACCAAAACTCAAGCTCAAGCAAACAAAAAACCCATAAATGCAAAAAAAATACAAAGAAATCAAATAAATTGGCAATGTATGTTGTGACATACAGGTTCGTTATGCGTAATTCATTACTGTTGGCAAGTTGTCATGGCATACAAGTTTATTATCAAATAACAACAAAAATCCACAAATATTGCCAAAATTATATCAGTGAAACTTCACTATTCACGATCGAATTATTGCGTTTTATTAGAAATTTACGAGGAAACAGTAATAAAAAACAAATAATACCTTAGTGAACACAGCCGGCTTCTTTCGGGAGACATTTTGAAAAAGTGACAGCACTAGTGTTGCTAACACTCAAAAACATTTTTTTATAAAGTGTGACTAGTTTATGAGAATAAATTTTATAATAATATTGAAATCATAATATTTCTTTAACACTTTTTTTTTTAAAGTTTGTATGGCACAGCATACAATACCAAATTAAGGGTTAAGAAAATTGTATTGTATTTGATTGTTATGTTTAGGTTTTAATAAACAGTTAGGTACTTAATTAATTAATTAAAGGTTATATATTTTTTTGCATTATTAAGTAAGATATTTTTTTTATTCACGCCGGATTGTATGTAATCGTTAATACAACAGGAAATTGCTTCGAATCTTAACTATAAATGATTTACGAACCAAGTCTCTTGCTCGGTTCGACAACCTGAGCATAAAACTAAAAAAGCGTAGGTAGTAGGTACGACCCGATAGTCGCAGGCACTCACTCTCTTAAGTGTAGCATTATTTAAAATGAGTAGTTCTAATAATTATGGTACAGCTGAGTTTAATCATCGGACACCAAGGCAGAATACTAAACTTCAGGGCGGTATCACTTAACATCAGGTGATTAAAAGCACTTCATAGCATTTGATTAAGTAAAATAGTTTTTTTTAAACGTGAGTGATGTAAATAAAGACTGAAATTTATATTTTCTTTTATTATTAGGTACAATTGACAAGAATGGCCGTACAATTAAATTTCTATTAAAACCAAAGCCGTGTAGGATTTATAGGTATATCATATAATGAAATAAAAAGTAAAACCACTACTATTACTTACCTTACTTTAATTATGGTACTTTTTAAAACTCTTTTTCAATGTTATAAACCATTTTTCTCGAGTCGAAAATATATTAAGCATTGGTGGCATAGTGATTTGGAAGAACATTGATAGCGGGACGGTGGGGAAATCGTCGGCGAAATTCACGTTGTGTTTTTATCACTGATGAATTATTCCGTAAGAACATTGACACGATTATTCCACGTTCTTGGGGAGTAAAACGTCCATGTTTATTTTCGGTGTATTTTGCATTTGTTCACTACACAATTTTCAACAACAGAATGACAGGAAATGTCATATAAAAAAAAATAAACAAATTTTCTTTAGTGCCAGTACTTTTTAAATCAGGTTTGCCTATATATACATGATGGCCAAAACGTCGGGGATCAAAGTGATAGATGGGGTCATCAGCTGCAAAAAATTGTTCTACGCTCAATTCCTGCAGAGTTATAACTTATTTTGCGTTTTTATAAGAAAGTTGACTTTTTTTACTAAATCTTATTGAAATTCAAAAAAATCTACTAACTGTATATTTTTCATAATATCCACTACATTGGTACTGATAAGACCTTGCGTTAGACATGCTATTTATGGCTGTTTAATGGGTATATAGAGTATTGAAGATAATATTAAGTTGTACGATAATTATTTATAATTAATAAGTAGTACGAATTTTATCAAATCATAACTTTTTGTTTACTTCGGAGTTCGGACCACACTGTGAAAAAAAAATACTCTACCGAAAATTGACTCTGTATTACATGTTTTGGCGCAGTTAATAGGGATTCTGAAAAAGTATTACACATGGCCATGAGTGGCTCTAATTTCTTTCTAAAACTGATTAAATTATTAAAACAACATTTATTTACTAGATTTTTTATTCACACCTTTTCTAAATGACAAGTTACAATTCCAGTGCGATAAAGCGTGACATTTTTCATAAAATGTAATAAATATATATTAATCTTTTGTATAAGAATGAATACTTTTAAAACTACTTAGTATATATGTCACCGTAAAATTGTAAACACCGTTAGATTGTAATCTATCTCGCGAGGTTTTACTTCGATAGATTACAATCTACCGAATAATAAATAATACGTAAAATTTTAAGCAGTACGTTGAGTTCACAATCTTTCGACAGTTTACAATCTCGCGAGATAGATTACAATCTAACGGTGTTTACAATTTTACGGTGACATAATAATGTATATCAGGTATGCCCTGCACCCATAGCCCCATCAATACGTACACCGAAGTAATGATAGTAACTACATTTGTATGAAAACCTTTTATTTAATCGTACATATAAGTTATTGGATTCATAAACAACGGAGAGCAAAATGGTCAGAATTCTCAAAAACACACCGCTGAACACGTGACGAACTCAACGCTTCTTAAAGACAGACGAGAAAGAGGAACTAACCTTATAATCTAATAGAAACATACAAAATTATATAATAATGTGCAACACATTAAGGGTCACAATATCATATCAACTCGGAAAGGGATCGTCAGTCTTTCGCTTCGCCGTCAATCTAAAGTATGCACGTAAGAGAGGTGTATAGCCAAAAACGTGTTTTCACCCCTTTTTCCAAGATGGCGGCAGGGGGACAAGGGCGCCAACCCCACAAACTTGGGTTTAAGCTTTTATTGACCCCCCCACCCCTACATGTTCCATAAATAAAATTGCGTCCTCTAACAAATGTTCAGCAAATGTAACATTTCAATGGACTAATAATCTAAACAAAAGAACATCGTTCGAATATTATTCCTACAGACTTTGGCAGAATAGGAGAAATCTGGATATTCGATGTGTATCACTGACATCAGGGGGCGTTCAAGTATTACGTAAGCAGATTTACTGCAAATCATCCCCCCTCCTATTGTACATAAAAAGTTTTAAATGTCGTTCACTTTTGAAGCCCATCCAGATGGGTTATAGGGTTCACGACCCTATCTCGTCTCGCTGTCATATATAATAAATATTTTTTACAAAATAACTTTTGTTAGTTGATGTGACTATTTACAAATTTGTTTAAAAACTTTTCAAATCACTAGTTTTACTAGATCATTTATAAACATTAAAAAAATGTGTAACTATGCGGTTTTTTACAAAAAAATTAAGTGTCCCTCGTCGCGAATTTTAGATATGACCGTGACGTTCTTGATATCTGAACTCTGATTAGCGAAATCCCTATAACTATTGATAGTAATAATTTATTAATTCCGTTTATCGTGTATTGCCTGTTTCATTACAGGCAAACATAAGTACATTATACCGTTATGTGGTGAACACACAACGTAGGTATTAAGGGGAAACATACTACCAAAACGCGACTACACCACCCATCCGACGCATGTCAGTACTTATCAATCCAATTATTTAATATGGTCAGATGCAATAGACAACACGCCATGTGATCAACCGGTAACATCCAATATTTGATGGCGTGTTGTCGTGTGTGACGCCAGCGTCAAACGTTCGAGTTTTTGGCACAAATGTCAATTGTCACTAAATGACTTCTGAATTTGCAAGTGTGTCGTGGACCGTGGGTCGCGTGTTGGTAATGTGAGATGGACATGGGTGTCGACCGTTCGGGTTAGTATGTTTCCACCTTTATCCTTCTGGGTTACCTGGCTGCAATATTTGTTGCCTACCTTAAAAATTATGAATAAAACGAATATAGCTATGAAAAGTCCAATTGAGATCTCCATTGGAGAGCATATGGGAGTTTTATAAAGGTTTTATGAAGGCTTTTTGCATTCAGGGTTACAGTCAGGAATAAAAAAATTACACATATTATCTTCTTCAAATGATGTTTGTGTTTCAGCTGAATTAAAGTTTGAAAAGTCATCTAAATCCAATGTCTGTGTTTCAGTTGATATACATTCATTTGAGGCCTTTTCGTGAACTCTGCTTGTAGAATCATATAGACAGTCACAGGTTTGAGTTTTCTTAGTACTTAGGTCAGGGGATTCATTTCTATCTCTTACTTTAGATAAGCCAAATTCTGATAATGTTAACGAACCACATAGAGATTCATCTTCACTAGTTTGAGACTTAAATGACTCATCAAAAACTGTCTGAGTTGAGATTTCATCTGTTTTAGTCTCACTATCAGATTGCCATGACAACAAGACATTGTTTTTAATTTTCTCAAGGGTCTGTGTGGCAGAGGAGCGTTTCAGAATCAAATCTTCTTCCTCTGCTTTTTTTGCTTTCTTCTGCAAACTTTGTGCTTCAGACTTTCGTTTTTCCGCCTTGTCTCTCTTGTATCTTTTGTGAAATTCTGGATGGTTTCGCATCAGATGGACCATTAGCCTTTCATCTGACACATATTTCTTATCACAAACCTGACACCAGTGGAGGTAGTTACACGATTTTAAATGATGTTTATAGTCTATATCCTTTGAAAACTTGAGATTACAATGTCCACAGACAATTTTGTCTTTGTGGACTTTACTGAAATGTTGGTTCAATTGTTTTCTTTTGGAAAAATACTTGTTGTTTTCTATATGGTATACACAATCTGCATGTGAGCAATAGAACCGTATTTCAACCGCAAAATCATGATTTTTATTATGCGATTTAACAAAATGCATAGATAAGAGGGATTGTTTTTGAAAGGTCTCATTACAAGAGTAGGGACAAGGGTACATAAGCTTCTCTTCCATATTTGGTGCTGTTATCATATATGTTATTTTGTTTTCATCAAATCTAAATTTTATTTCATTATCAACAGTTTCCTTAGGAAACAGAATCACTTCTTCCGTTAATGAGGTTAACTTTTTCTGGAATGAATAAATAAATAAATGAAAAATTTACTTGCTATATATTACTTTACTATTTGTTAATATTATAAAATTTATTAAATCTTTACACAATACTGCTATCCAAGCACTGATGCTGATTAACTAGAAGTAAATTTTTCATGTACACTATTAGTAGATTTGAAACAAAATAAAAATAAATAGTTTAAACTGTACATATTATATACTAACTACTTAGAATCCAAACTATATGTTTCAAGGTACAAAGATGTGAAACCTCAAATGCATTTTTAGGGTTTTATTTACTTAACTATTATAGAAAAATGATAGAAAACAATAACTATAATGTTAAGTTTTAACTATTTATGATAGGATGTCTGCTTTACTGTTATTTTTTATGAAAAAGAATAATATAATACTGATAAATTATTTACGATTTTAAAATATCACTAATAAACATTATGAGATCAATGTATCCCACCTTTGCTGTGTCATTTAATAAAAAATCAGATTTTTCACATTGCCTCTTAAATTGTATACACTTTGTCAGCATATCTTCACATCCAACACATATAGATTTAGAAATTGTATCTGATGGTTGCAACTAAAAAAAAGTAAAACGAGAAGTTACTCAAAGTTGTTGACAATGTAGAAGATATGACTTTGCTCGTCAGTATCAATATACTTAATCAACACTAAATCTAAATACTCTAAACTTATATTTAAAATAGGGTTCGTTTGTACGAGAAAATAGTAGCTGATACATCCGTCTTATCCTGTGATGAAGTATTTTATTATAATAAAAAAATACTAACAGAAACATTTGTTAATTTGTAATAATCCATAGCCAGGCCCCAAACAAACATATCTTTAATAACTCCTGTAGTAGACATACATGCCCGACAAACAGTACTCAGATCTAGGTTCGCTAAATCTGGATTTTCTTCAGAGAATGACATTTCCAAGGACTATTGATTCTTTAAAAAAATATAAATATTACTTAAGTTTTGTTTATATATGATTCAAATCATGTAAATAATAATAGTTTTTGCCTCTTTCAGTTTAAATACTGTCAAGTGTCATCTTCACAGTTCACAGTTGACTATTTACTCTTATATTTATAAAAAACGCTCTTACACTTTTTTTTTTCTCTTTATGGCTCTGGCAACTCTTTCACTTGCACTGTTTTTAATATAAAGGTGTCCAGCAGGAATTTTTCAACTTTAAATTGCGATTATCGAAATAATAGCGGGGTGACGTAAGCAGGAGGGATATCATTCAAAGTGTACGATTTGCGGATTTGTTAGTCGCTATGAGTCACTGGTCGGGAGCGCACCGCGCGTTTGCGGTGGAGCAATATTTGAAGTGCAGTGAATCATTGGTACGTGCACGTCGCGCTTTTTGTACTCATTTTAATATTCGACGACTAAGTGATGGGCCGAGCACGCAACTTATCTGGTCGTGGGTACAAAGATTCAGGCAAGAAGGCACAATGGTAAACAGACCTATTCCTGGACCATCAACGTCAGCAACAACGCCAGAACATGTGTCTCAAGTTCGAAATGAAATTATTCGAAATCCACGAAAATCAATAAGGAAGATTGCGGCCTCCACAGGAATAAAAAAATCTACAGTCCATGTTATTTTGAAAAAGAAATTAAAACTGCACCCGTACAAAATGCAAATTGTTCAGTATCTCAACGAAAATGACTATCCTTTGCGAGAATCCTTCGCAAGAACAATGCTGGGACGTTTTCGGACAGCACTTACGCTTAGAAACATTTTATTCAGTGACGAAGCACATTTTCATATTGATGGCTATGTTAACAAACAAAATATGCGATACTGGTGCCCTAACAACCCTAGAGAGCGCTATCAAAAACGTTTACATTGTTTAAAAACGACAGTTTGGTGTGCCATTTCAGCGAGCGGGGTAATTGGCGCTTATTTTTTTAACCAAGGTGAGACAGTCACTGCTCCGGTGTATTGCCGTATGATCGAAGAGTTTCTGTAACCGCAATTGTAGCAGTATTCAGGGTACAACAACCGAACACAATTTCAACAGGACGGTGCCACTCCGCACACAGCTAGGGTGTCGATGGAAAGGTTAAGGACAGTTTTTTCCGAATAAACTGATCAGCAAGTACGGAGACATTCCATGGCCGCCTCGGTCACCAGACCTCACACCTTGTGATTTTTTTTTATGGGGATACCTCAAATCAAAGGTCTACAACAACAATCCCCGGACAATTCAGGCCCTACAGGAAAACATTCGCCATGAAATTCAAAGCATTATTTCAGCGCTTTGCCGTCGCGAAATCGCAAATGTAAGGGTCCGACTGCAAGAGTGCATTGAAAAAAAGGGGCCATCATTTGAATGATATCGTTTTTAAAAAATAAAATCCGCATTGTTATTCTGCATTTAATTGAAATAAAAATAAATAAAAACGATGTAGTTTTTTTTATATTAAATTCTAAAGTTGAAAATATTCCGCTGGACACCCTTTACAATTCACAAAGGTTCACAGACCACAGTACGCTTTTTAGTTAGATACTATTATTAATTGCGTGTGGTTTTTATAGAGTCTGTGGTTTTAATGTTGCAATTTTCAAATCTTTTTGAATGTTACATTGAAAACAAAACAGTCAATATTTTGAAACTATTAAATCGATTTACTCACCCACACTTCAGCTGCTAATTATCTTAAACCAACTACAATAAATTTTTATATATTGCATTGCAGTGTCTTTAAAATGACGTTACTGTGTTGTGTTTGTCTAACAGAAAATGTACGATTTTATAATTTAAATAAAACTTATTTATACCAGTTTTATGAAAAATTAATCGATTACAATGTAAGTACCTCAATATACTCGACTAAAAGCTAATTTATCAACCATAAAATAATTTTTAACTAGTTTTAAACCTTTCAAATGACGCCGGCTTACATTAGAGCAGTCTCATATTGAATTTAATATTTCGTTTTGTAACAAAATCTTATTTTTATGAAGAAAGAGTATTTATCCAATTAGGCTTTCATTTAGAGTCTCAATTTAAAACAGATCATACAAATAACAGAACATAACATATCATGTAAATTATTATTTCAGGGGCATCCATAGCTAAGTTTTTCATGTATTTTGTTTCTTAATTGCTTGTTATTAAACAATTTTTTGTACATTTTACAGGTACCGTATAGTTCATCATGTTGCTGCTATATTTGTTTTGCGCTATTGAAGAAATGTTACAAGTTTATGCTTCAAGCACTGAAAGGAAATAATATCTTGACAAAAATTGAAGATAGCAATTTTATGGTTAGTGAAAGATATAAATTAACTAAAAAATATCAATAATAAAAAATAAAGTTATATGTATATAAGTTAATATATTTCTTTAAATTATATTTTAGTGGCTTACTATTTTCAGTTGACAAATCAAAATGAAAACAATATAAATTTAACCACAGTCAAACTTAACAATATAGTTATTGAGGGTGGACCTGATATATGTAGTTTTGAAGATAATGGGAAAGGAGTACAGAGTAAGGATTTAGTCAAAATTGAAGATTTCGGAGCCGGAAGTGACAGTATGTTTATTAATTACAAACCCCATAATAAACTCACTCACTATTTGTATTATATGCCTTGCTTTGTGCCCTCCCATGTGCCCTTCCTGGCACAAGTACTGTATTAAAACTAATTTGGGAGCCTATCAAGTCTTTTATGTTCTGCTTTAAATAAGCACAGTAAAAAAAACATTTTCTTCCAGATGAAACAGATGTTAAACTAGATTATGTTAGCACTAAGCAGTCTGACTCTGATGAAGATCTTCCTTTAAGTGAGCTCAACACTGAGACAGATATAATCAAGGAAGAGAAAGTTCATTATAAAGGTTAGTTATATTGAAATTAGATATATCTATATTTAATTATAATCGCTAAGGACTGTCAATGCAATAAACTGATATTTCAGAAATTTAAATTAAAAAAATAATGTGTAGTAATGTAAAATTTGTCAATGATTCTGTGCATAAATAATTTTTTAAATTCAAGTAAATAGTATTTTAAATAATTAATTTGTACCATCCATAAATGTGATTATGTTATTATTAATATAATATAATAGTAATAGTTATATAAAATAAAATATAATAGTTATATTTTTCAGCATTAAAAAGAGTAAATGCACGGGAATTTATATTGACCACAGAAGAGCAGAAACAAGAAATGGAACAAAGAGCAAAGAGTATAAATTATTTGAATTCGCCATATAAATGTGCTCTATGTTTTCGTGGGTTCATAGATCCAATAGCCTATGGGAAGCATAGACAAAAACATGATGAGGTAATTTGTTCCCCATTTTAAAATAAAATTTTAAGGATGGTTTTTATTTCATCTCTAGTATGTATCATCTTACTCACTTTTCTTTGTAGTTAATGGAAAACTAGAATAATATTTTAATTTATTCTTTACTAAAAGGAAACCTTTAATTGTGTCCATGTGACAGTTTTTATGATCGAAGTAAGACCAATGCAACAGTACTTAAATATAATGGTGTTTTTTTAAAATAACACAGACAGATAAAGACATTACTTCAATTAACGAGATTTCAAATTAATAACAAAGATTTGTAAGTTAGTTTAAAGACACAATTATGTCTGTATTTCTGTGTCTATTGTAGAGCAGTGGTGACCATAAATGCGAAATGTGTCATCTCCGTTATTCAACTAAACGGCAACTGAATAGCCATTATAAGGCGGCACATTTAAGGAAATTCGAATGTTATGTTTGTAAAGAGATCACTCATACAAGGTGAGTGTCTTTGCCAATTTACTTAAGTAAGTTTTTTGTCAAGATGACGTTTTTAAGTAATCAAGTAATGTTTTGAAATATCAGGGTATTTAAATATAGACCTCGACTTTCGATTTTTGGCAAACAATTACGAATTTTCCAGAAACCAAGCGAAACAACATGAAGAGTGGCACAAGGGTAGAACTTATACTTGTCATCTGTGTGGGAAGGCCTTCCGGTAAGTGATTTGAAATCTAAACAATTAACTGGAATCCATTTGCAGCTCTATTACCTGTAGTAGATGATTCTGACCAGTTTCTTAACTTATTCGATTTAATTGTCATTATTAACATTGCTTAAAAGATCTAAGCGCACAAACTACTATGATGATTTTTAATGATGAATGTTAAAACAACAAGCTAAGACCGTACTAAACCCTAAAAGGCGGGCAACGCACTTGCGAGTCTTCTGGCAGTATGAGTGTCCATTGTCCATGTCCATGTCCAGGTTTCAGTTAACATCAGGTGAGCCTCCTGCCAGTTTTCCCCCTGTGCTATTAAAAACAAACATTCTCTACTTGATACTGATACTTGAATACTTATACCATCCGTTTTAAACTTGAATAAGTGTCCTTTAATGTGTGGGAATCATTTTTGTCTTATTTTTATACGATTAATTTTTTTGAAGAGTTACTAATGTTATGAAACATTCGAAATGATACAGTATTACGAAATAGAAACATTAATTCTCTATATTGTTGTATTATCTTACAGCAAATCATCGTCCTACTTTACGCACGTTCGTAAGTCTCATAAGAGCGTGCACGCGTGCTCGCTTTGCGGAGATAGTTTTGTCAGCGAACACGGACTTCGTATGCATAGTTCTAAAGCACATAGAACCATCGAGGTAAGGGTACAGACAGGGCTGGACAGTGTAAGAAAGAGTAGGAAGAGAAGAAGAGATTAATGCTTTCGTAATTTTCAAATAAGTATTATCTCTTATTGTACATTAACTTTCTCGGTTTCGTTAAACGTTCGACTTAAAACTAATTTTTAAGAATGTGATACATTTAAAATCGAATAATGGCGATTTATGCTTCAGGTTGACAAAAAAGATGAACAAATTTTGGAGAGTTATTGCAAAGAGTGTAATGTACAATTCAAAACATCGGATGCGTGGGAACGGCACGCTTTGACGAATCACTATAGTTTGGACGCTAAAAGGTAAGTGTTAATGACGTCTAATTAATTTATCATAATCAAACCAAAGCAATATTTCGCCGAGAATCGTACCCAGTACCAATCCGTTATTATATATGGAAATGTCTGATGGAGGTCCTGAATGTAAATAGAGAATCTATACTAATATTATAAAGAGGTAAAGTTTGTGATGTTGGAGGGGATTCTGGATCTACTGAACAGATTTTGAAAATTATTTTATCAAAGCCATGTAATTTGTGTGTAACAGGCGTATATAATAACCCATTAAATTAAAAAAACTTTCTCTTGATAGCCGGATTTGCGAAAGTCTCAGAAGAAACGGTCGAACGAAACTTTTTTACCAGCACTGCTTTATAAAAATAAAAATATAAATAGCCTTTATTCGAGTACTACACTATACTCTAATTTTTCATTCCGTAGAATTCTGACATTTCGTAAGTGTTGCTACTAAAAAAGTTCTCCACCGAAAAAGGGACAAATTTGACCCATTTGAGGGCAATAAAATAAAATGCTACGTATTTTTTATGTTTTACCTACAAAAAGTTAAATCTTAATATTTACTTACTCAAGTCTAATACAAAAGTAACAAATATTTCAATATCACGAACAATATATCGAATTAACTTTAATTACTTTATTTTATTCTTTAGCTGGCATCACTGCCTACCAATTACAAGTTTAGTAAACCTTAAAAAAAAATGTTATCTTCACTTGTGCGTTTACTACTGTTTGTGATGAAAAGGGACGCAATTATCACTCGCCATAAAACCACTTTTAATGTTGAGCACCGCACTTAATAAACTAACAAATAAAATGTATGTATAGAGTCAGATGTTCAGACTCGTATTGAAATTGAAAAATCTGCCAGGCCAAAAAGGTTTGTCATCTCTGACATGTCTAAAAATGAAAGCTTTCAGAATTCTACGGTATTAAAAATTCGAGTATAAATCCATGTCATTTAGGTTTTACACTAGTACTCGACCTCCGACGGAGTGAGTCCCTCCAAATTCTTCCACTTGTTCTCTATTCCTTGCGACAATTTTCCAATTTTTACCCGCTATCCCTTTTATTTCATATTCCCAAGTTTTCGATGGGCATCCTCTCTTTTTTCTACCTACTGGGCCATTCCAAGTAAAAGTCTTTTTGACCCATCTTCCATCACAAATACAGCCAATGTGACCGGACCAGCACTGCCTTAATGATTGAATTGAAGTCTAAAGAAAAGTTGTAGAGTTTTATAATTCCTACAAAAATTTAGCAACAGCATATGTCTAACTTTTAAATTATATAAAACAAAGTCTCCGACGCGATAAACTCCAAAAAGTGGAGTAGCACGGAATTTAATGCGGGTTTCACCAATATCTAGAATGATTCCCAAGGTATATAATTTTCCAAGCTTTACGAAGTAGAAGTATATTAACTCACTTTAAAGTGAAAGAAAGCACTAAGAGTCCTATCATGAAGTCAGTTCTCTATTCTCTTGATGTATAATTTTTTTTATTTTTAATACCCATTTTAGCTCATGCTGCCCCGTATGCAATCAAGATGTTAAACTAGAAGAGAGGGTTGCTCATAAACGGACTCATATGGACAGACATACAACTGAACATATATATGAGAAAACACCAGCACTTTCTGCCCTCAGTTGCGGACACGTAAGAATTTTTATTGTTTGTATTCCTGTAAAGAGGCTATCGGGATGGCATATAATTTTTGTTTCTTTTTCTGAAATGCTTTCTAAAAGAAAATTCTAAAAATTTTGTACCTTTAGTGCGATTCGAAGTTTCTCAGCGTACACAAACTGCGCGCTCATATGAAACGCGTGCACCTCGGTCTCAAGTATGACAAGAATATTGTCTGTGAAGTGTGCGGGAAGCATTGTACTGTAAGTTTCTTTTAATAAGTTTATTAATTATATGGTTTTTGGGTAAATAAACCCAACGATATTCTTATCAAAACTTGTTTCTAAAAAAATATATTTTATATTACTAATGAAATGTTGAAGCGATACTGGGATTTATCATACAAAGATTTCATAAAATTTTGAGTAGTATATTTACGTTCAATGTTTTATTTAACAAATTTCAGTATATTCGCACTCTTTAAGAAAATTTTATATCTCGTTCTGTCAAATGATGATTACGCTGTGATGAAAAGAGAAATGAGTACTTTAGTTACTGCGGTGCAATGATGTTTTATTAATAACGGGGAAAATATACTTTTATTTTGACGTCGCTTTTAGTTTGTAAAAGATGTCCACATTTAGTTCACATAGTTTAGATTGACAGTTAACTCGTGGTAACTTTTTAGTCGCTGGCAACACTTAAGTACCACCAAAGACAACATAACGGAGAGAGACCATTTCCCTGCGTTATCTGTGGGGCTCGATTTACTTGTAAAGAAAATCTTAGGTGAGTTACTAAAACTGTGTTTATACTAATTAATGGTCCTTAGATAATGTGGCAGGTTATCACTTTTAAGTATCTAAGTCTTTCAAGTGGCGAACAGGTGATCTTTCTCCAACTATTGATGTACCAACACGACGTCTGTGTGGGTCTTGAGCGTTACACACAAAAGCACAGTTGGTTCCTCTTATTTTCTGAAACATTCTTAGCTTAAAATACACGTGACACGAATCGATGAACGCCGGCTGCATGCACGAAAAAGCATGAGTCATTGTCCCGTTAGGCTCATTGTACGCTTGCGCATCATCTATCTCTCTTCCACTCGATTGGCATATGCGTAACAGGATTCATTCCTTCTTTGTTGCCATACAAAATAGAATTAAATAATTTTTAATGAAATGATAATTTAATAATTTTTAATGAAATGATTAATTAGTCATTAAAAAATATTTAATTTTATTCATAAAAGTATGCAATCACTTCATTAATGTTTTGTTATGTTAAACTATCGTCCGTAAACCGACTTTACAGACAAACATTATTATTTAATATGCAGTAAGTGATCAGCCTTTTGCCCACATAACATCGATTTTTTATTCGCATCATACAATATGTGATTAAAATGTTTTAGAATTCACACGAGAACACATTCGGGTGAGCGTCCGTATAGCTGTGTAGTTTGCGATAAGAAATTTACACAGAAACCAGCGCTGAACCGACATTACAGGGTAAGTAGATTCAGACTCTACAATTATTAGGTTCTTACATTCGGCTCTCGCCTTTCTCGACATAACGCAATAATAATAATATTAGCATCACGAAGATGTGCAGCGTTTTTGTCGAAGAAAAGGGAGAGAGCGATTGAGACCAATGGAGTGAGAGCGAGATGGGTGTATTACCTTATAGAAATTCTATTCTTAAAATTAAAATTTCGTAAAGAGAATTTATGAAATATAGGTATAGTGAAATATATGTATTTTATGCAAAATAGTTTTTTGAAATCTCAAATGACGAATTGTAAATTAAAATGCCACGTGTTTTTTTTTTTTTATCGAAGAAATAAATTAAAAAAATAAAATTTATGATTTGTATTAATTTTCGACACTTTTAATATTTTAATGACAATTAAATTCGAAAGTTTTAGATTTGTATAAATATGAACAGGCCTTAAAAATTAGTTTGCCAAAGAAGTTTCACTTCTGACATGTGTACTTTGTACGCACTCACTTTTTTTTACCTGGCGGCCTCTGTGCCCTACGGCCGTGTTTTATCAATTTCTCCATTTTCGTTTAAATGACTTAGCGATATGACTACACTTCCCAATAATAAATTAAGCGCAATATAAGTAAATGAATATACTTTTCCATTCAATTCTACTAAGTTGAGTGCGATATTGTAAAAATTAATTCTCTTTTCAGGTACACAACGGCTCGAAGCCATACGAATGTCAGTATTGTTCGAAACGCTTTAATCAGTCCAGTTCGCTGAAATCTCACGTTAATACAATTCATTTGAAAATACCTAGAAATAAGAAGAGTAAACTTTGTTGACATTTAGTGGAATGAAATAAATGTTTTATAAATTGACATTAATTTTAAATGGCAATTATGAAAAGAAATATTGGAATTAAACTAAGTGACGAACAGAAATGTAAAAGACGACTCAAATAGCTGATGGGCAGGATACATAGCATGTTCTACAGATGGAAGATGGTCAAAAACGGTAACCGAATGGACTGGTCCAAAAGGACCAAGAAAGGGCAGACCAAAAGAGCGATGGGCCGAAGAGATAAAACAGGCTGGAAAAAGTGAAGGAGGCTTCCCGACGGGGACCGCGTCTTAGAATAATAAAATTCTAAATATCTTTTGTAAGTTATATTTAAAGTAGATGTGGATAAATAAAGAATTCTTAATATAATACAAAGTTGGTACAATTTAATTTTCCTTTTTACACGTTTAAATAACAGTTATAATTAATCAATTGTGTCTTGTGGTTAAAGATTAAACCAAAACTTTCGGGGCTGGTACAGAACAAACCGTGAAATTGGCAATGTTTAATATATATAATGCAGTTTTTCAGTTTTGTTAATTCACCCTTCTGGTCGTCGAGAATATAATAATATTATTGTGTAATATTTTACGCAGAGATGTAATACACAAATAAATACTTATTCCAAATCATTGTATATTTTTCGTGTTTATTACAAGTGTTTTACAGCTCAATACGATAACATCAATCTCTGACACTATTGTTTTGGGACTGACAGTTCGAATGCATTGATTATCCACAAAATATATTCCATTCAAAAAAGTATTGTTACTATTCTATTAATATAAGTCGATTTTACTCATTCGTGCTAAAGGAATTATCGAGAAAAACAATAAGAATCTTATGTTAACAAAACCTAAAACTAGTATTTGCTACAAGTCTAAGGGTGAGATCTATAGTGCGCACTTAGACTTTGCTCTGACTTAACTATCGAGCTAAGACACAGTCGGTATTTATAGAGCAAACTGCGAATCTCTCCCTAGTGTTGGCTTAGCTTAATCTCAAGTCCACGAAATCGACGACTTACCAAAAACTTTGACTATAAGCCTAACAAAAATAATGGCCCAAAATTTGCTTTACCATCATATCTTTTACTGGACTTTTTATTTTTGTCGGTTTTTAATGAACGGTGTTGCCATTTTGTATCGGAGTTCCATAGACTTTGGGAAAAATAGAATTTGAATTCAAAGAAATTATAAATGATCTTGATAAATACCTATGAAATGCATGAATTAAAATAATTACACATTATTATGGTATTTATTATTGTTTTTTTATATTATTTATGTAATTGTTCAAACCCCATTTTTGAGAAATCTTAAAAATAACTGGTGTGATTTTGTATGTCACCTGGCAGCCCTGGCATATTATAGTGACAACGAAATTCAAACTATAACCTAACCGATGTCTCTCGCTTCACATATTCTGTTATTTTCGTTTCCCTGAATCTTCTACCATTTATTACCTGACTACTCTAAAAAATTTGAGATAGGAGTGGAACATATGAAATTAAAAAAATCTGTTGGAAATATAATTTCTTCAACAAAAATATAAATTAGTATTAGAAATATGTATTACACTTAAAAAAAGAATCAGAAAATAAATGATTAAAATGAAACAAGTTTTGTTTTGATATTCTTTATTACCAAACAAATTACCTAGTTAAATTGTGCAATCACAGATTGCCGGAATGCTAGACCTGTAAGAGATCTTTCATTGTTTCTGTGTTACTCAACTTCTGCTGTCAGCAAGATCACCATCATCATAGGCATCCCCTCTCTGTATACCTATATTATGCAATACAACACAAGCTATAATTATATATAACTAGTATTTGTCAATTTTGACTGTAGTCCTAGCTGTAAACATGGAAATTTCCTTTATCACACTCCAAAAAACCTTTAAAAAATATGCCTAGTTCTTATTTGAGAATAATTATAAATATTGTCAGCTCTTGTCATTGGATTTAAAAGTGTTGTTAACATGAAGTTAAGTGCTGGATAACCGCTGTCACCTACTAAAACAGGCATTTTCTAAATATCCTGCTGTCGTGAGAACTGCCAGGCCACCTAGTCACTATAGCAAATATTTCCATATCAGGCCCTATTATTGCTTGCACATTTACAGAAAAATACCCTTTTTTATTTCTGTATGCTTCAGAGTGAGCGATACCTTCGGGTCTATTAATTTTTATATGGGTGCAGTCAATAGCTCCGATTATACTGTTTAGGCCATGGTGAGTATTAGATCTTCCTAATTCTTCAAACTTCGTTTTGGCTGTGTTCATATTTCTTAGAAAATTTACAAATCTAGGAAGTAATTTACTCAACTCTGCAGAGACTTTATTTATAATTAAACAGACTGTAGATTGGCTTATGCTGTTCAGATCACCACACACCATCTGTAATGTCAATAAATTATTATTAGTCACATATATGTTATGTTTCTGAAAGTCAGAAGACAAAAGTGTATTTAAAATCATTTGAGAAGAGGTATAATATATCAAATTGAAAAACCATACATATTTATGAACACAATATTACCTGAAAACATCCAGTTCCGAACATATACTTTAGGCATTCGTGGATTCATATCGGCTGCAGTTCCTACCCTTTCAATGTTTTCTATTGAAGATAGAACTCTCTCTCTCCATCATGTCACTTTCGATATTGATATTTCCAAGCGGTCCATGTAACAAAGCCAAATCACAAAACGTCACAGTGCTTCGGGAATGCGTAGGAGTTAAGTAGGTATACGATCCAGATTGGTCCAGGTCCAAGTCACAAAGCCAGTCGTTGTTTTGAAGAAAGTTAAATTTAATATTTATAAGCTCATACAAACAGAAACAGAAAAGAGAAAAAGTGGTTTAAAATTTTCAATTGTTGATACAAGTGCTTTGTTGCTGTTGTCAAAACATTGCGATCCGTTCTACGTAATAAAATTATTGTCATCTTTAAATAATTAATACATTTTCTAAAGGTTACTCGTAAATTTCTAGTTATTGCAATAATAAAATAAATGAATACATAAATAACAATAAATTGAAGATATATGTGTACCGTTTTAGATGTTTAAATATTTGTTATTGTTTACTTTTTTTAAAGGATAATAAACAAAGTATTGCATGAAATGAAACATCAATTTGTATTTTGACATTTTCTGTCTTAGCTTGGGCTTAGCTTAATCTCACCGTTAAAATGTCTATAAATACGAAATCATAGTTTAACCTTAGTGTACACTAAGCAAAGTTTTTCGTAAGGTAAGTCTGAGCAAAGTCCAAGTGCGCACTATAGATCTCACCCTAAGGATTCAATTTATAAGACATTGAAATATACTTATTTGATTGAACTGACCAATTAACATATTTATACAACGATTTGACGACTCATTGGTCTTGTGGTTAGTACCCCTGACTGCGAATCCATGGGTCCCGGCTGAGACAAACATCGATGTGATGAGGATTTGGTGTTGTGCTTAGGTCTTGGGTGTTTAAATATGTATTTATATGTCTATCTATCTATAATATGTATGTATAGCCGTTGCCTAGTACTCATAACACAAGCTTCACCAGCTTAGCATGGGACTAGGTCAATTGGTGTGAATTGTCCAATAAAAAAAAAAAAAAAAATACATAGAAAACAAATGTTCACTCATAGCAACGCTTGTGTAATCAATAATGCGTTAATGGCTTTAATATTTTGTCTGTACTGTAAAATAGGTAACCCATTTACTCTAAAGTATTAGTTACGGAAGTTAGAAACAAAAAAATCTTTCAGTGAACTAATTATATTAAGTCGTCAATATTTAATTTTGACTAATGGCTGCACCTAAAGCTACGACGATAAAAGAAGCCATTAAGCGCTGGGAGGATAAGACTGGTCAGCATGCAGCAACAGCGACAGAAGTGTGTCTAGTTTTCCAATGGCCACCGATCGAGAAAATGGACAATACGTTGGCAAGTCTTTCTTGTTGCGAGTGAGTATCATACTCGTATTTTGAGTTCGTAATCAGTTACACAGTTAAACAACTTAGTTAAAAAAGACCGGAAAAATAGAAGCAAAGAAACTAAGGATCCGCAGTTCACTACGATGGACCGACTATGTATCATAAATTAGGTTCCGTCTACTTTGGATATAATAATTATTATTAGGAAGCAGCGCGGATGTAATCTACCACAACGGGGGAGGAGGCGGGAGCTTAGTTAACGTTTTCGTCACTTAACTCCATTTTCCCTATATTTCTAGGAAGGCAATGCATGGTCATCTAAATGCCTTTAAAAAATATTGGTTATGTATTTAATTGTTATTTATTTTGAGTACCTAATTCGCAGCTTTTTTTTTTTTTTTTTAAACTCTTCATCTATCTGCAATCAGCCTCTTGGCTTTTATCAGATTTTTAGGGGAAAGGTTGGCAATTAGGGAACGCAAGTCCAATAATTTTTACTCCCTCCGTAATTTTTAAACTGTCAGATTGCGGCAAGTTTCGCCCTTTTTAGCCGATAGACACTGTCCGTCATTTCCAAGAGGCCCGAAGCTAGGGGGTTCACGTGTTGCTGAAGTCTCATTTTGTATCGCACGGTTGATCTTTTAATGTCTTCCTCGACAGTGGCAATTCCCAAATATTTATGGACTTCAGTATTTCGTGTTAACCACAGCGCACCGCTCATATTTCGCAGTGTTTTGCTTTGTAGCCGCTGCAGGATTTCGATATTAGAGCGGCTTGCTGACCCCCAGAGCTGTATCCCATAGAACCATATTGGTTTAATTACAGTTTTATAGATGAGGAGTTTATTGTCCAAACTGAGTTCCGCATTTCTGCCTAATAGCCAGTTCATGCTACGAAGCCTACCAATAGCATGCTCCTTCTTGGCTTTTATATGGTCTTGCCAAGTCAGGCGTCTGTCCAGGTGCATGCCCAAATATTTCGCTGTAGTCCGTTTTGGCAAAACAGCTCCCTCCAGAGTCACCGGTGAGCACTCTTCTCTTCTTAGTGTGAACGTAAC